GAATAAAACATATAAAACAACAATAAAAACAGCATCCATATTTAAGAATTCACCTCATTTCATGCCAACACGTTTACTTTATGGTCAGGTTCTTATAACACTTATTTGGGTTACACAGAATTCTTTCCAAGCAGAAATAGCAGCAGCAGCTAGTTGTAGCACTGCAGCCTTTTCATAATCATTCTGTGATTGCATTCTTTGCTTCAGGGTGGCTCTCATGAGATCATCTGTTTGCTTGTATTGCATCTATTTCTCTTCTTATTCCTAACATGGAATTTCACAAAAACAACAGCAGTGCTGCCAAAAATGTCTTGAATATTTTGTGAAGCAACAAAGCAACTAAAACAAGTGAAATTGGGTTTTGGAGTTTAACCCCCCCCCCCCCCCCGGCAATGCAACAAGAACCTCAGCTGGTTGTCTTTGCAGTGACTGTGTGTTTTTAATTAGCTCAGGGCCACACAGAAGATGAATTGTAAGGCTGTGGCAATTAACTCATGTGTCAACATTTGCATGAAGCCCCTTACAGTCACAATAAATCCTACAGGGATGGCAAGTTTAGTGCTATAAGGTAATTTATTGTTATTGGGTACAGAAATATGTCATCTTGTGCACAAAATTCACAATGAACACATCAGAATGACAAATTCTCATATTAAAAAGAAAAAATATATACGTATTAGAGAACATGTTCTACATTTGGAAACATATGTAACACCTTCAAGGGTTTACATATCTTCGATAGTCAATAGAATTTGCTTAATTAAAAACAACACATTTCATCAAAATAAAAAAAATAGGAGTCGATCCACTATCATTCTATCATCTGCCTGYCATTAATGAATGAAGTGTGATTAAAGGACCACAGGTGACAAATTAAACAAAAAATAGATTAAGAAGATGTGATTCCATCACAAAAATGTCTGAGTGCCTCAACAGTTATTCTACAAAATCACTGATTCATTTATTTATTTTACTCGCTTTTTCTTTTCCAATCTCCGAGCTGTCATTGTGTGAGAGGCAGGGTACATCCTGAACAGGCATACTGATAGATAATTACCTTTATTTCAAAAGATACTGCCTCATTTAAGTTTTCCGATTACACTGGTGGAGAGCGCTGTGGGTTGAAATTCTTTAATTTTGGTTAAATTAGTTTTAAATTGAGTGAGTGGAGGCAGCAGCACTCATTTTCATCATGCAGTGACCCCACTGACAACATTAGAGCTGACGTGGAAGTTAAATGGCCAGGGAAAAAAAAAACATAAAAGGAAAGTCAAATTCATACAATTTAAGAAAAACAGATACAGTTTATATTTTATTACTTGATCTTTTTAGTCATTTATGATTAATTTAAAATAAGATCAAAGTTGTTTCCTCCTCAGTCAAAGATTCATGTTTTCCTTGGATGTTTCTGTTACTTTCTGAAGCTGTGACAGCTCAGACATTTATAGTCCCTGTGGTCTCTTGAGCATCCAGTGTTTGTGCCACAGAAATAAATCAAGGCATAAAAAAAAAGATCCAGTAAACTGCCTCACAGCTCATTGAGCTACAAGGAAAAACTGCAGGCAATCGTGCTGTCTTCTCATTTTACCATCCATGGTGCGTGATGAGGTTTGATGATTCCGACTACTGAAGAGGTGTTTGAGGCAGCAAAATGCTCGAGGTCTCTTAATGTCTTGCATAAAAGAGGAATAATTCTGTTCTAACTAATGGTTCTGGTGRTGTAGGATGTGAAGGTTTTAGAATCCTGAACACATTACTAAGTGTGTCAAACCGAGCATATGCCTAAATTAAAGTCTTACACTGTGCATTAGTTAACTTATATGAATCTTAGAGGATTAATTTAAGGTCTAGCACTCCTTGATGAAATGCCTATTGCCTGCTTCTTGTCATCATCTTATGCTGAGGAATGAGTTTCAGCTGCTTTGGTCAAATCTTGGTAATACTACATCGTCATATGCGTCATCAAGTATCACGTTCAGAGTGTGTGTCAATGACTCAGCGATGGCCACACCAAATTCTAGTTCATTGTCTGTAAAAAGGAGTTTTAGCCATTTAATGTCAGTGTGCTGTGACATCAGCTTGGCTCTAAAAGGCAATCATTTGTAGATGTACACCCAATGATTGTTTGCTCAAATCTGTCTCATAATCCTTGAGATATTTTGCTACTTTGCTCATTTATCACATTAAATTGTAAGGCTGTAAAACTGAGTTTGGGTTTTAAAGGAAACACATGCTTTTAAAMACATTTTTTCACATTTCAAYCATTCATTTGGGGTCTAAATGAAGTGGAACGCTTTGGTCTGAATTCCTCCTTTTTGTAACTCCACAAGCCCTTCTTTCACCCCRTTTTCTGTGGTRTGTCTCAGATCAACTCGTTTTGAGGCTGTGGCTTTAAATCCACCCCCCTCAGCTTCCAAAGCAGTCCATTCAAGTTTGATAGAGGGGTTTATGATTATATAGCTGTGCAGAAATGTTTTACTTACAAATGAATTAAAAGATGTCAACAAGAAAAGATTGTCCACCCAGCCTTACATGTTGGAGAGAGTCTGACTCAGAGCCAGAGGAGAATGAAGATGGTGAAATTGTATTTGGCAAGTCCAGACCTTATTGGCAGTTCCATCGCAAATACGTTGATGTAATGGATAAAATATATGACCCAAACAGAATATAAAGATGTCTGCGCAGCACCAGGAGAGATTAAATTCTAATTTTCCGTAAAGATTCCAACACAAAATGTACTTAATGGTGTATTTAATGGCTAAAAAAGTGGATTTTACATGATACGTCCCCTTTAAGGTAAGTTGCCCAAGGCAGCCATCTTGAATTAGGTTAACTTCAAAAATATRATTACTTATAGGCACTCACCCTGATATTACTTTCTGAAAGTTTCTTTAAAATTTGTCCAGATGTTCATGGGTCCGGCAGGTGATAATCAACATTAACTGGATGGACTGGACAGTGAGTACAGCTTTTTTGCACCAAAAACTTACATCATTTGAGAAACACATAAAGACATTAAAATTGGTGAAAACGTTTCAGTCGTGCATTTAATTCAACACCTTTCCAACGAGTCTCAGCACATTTTTTTTTACATGCTGCCACTCAGAAATTATCTCAAAGATTTGACATTTCAACTATTCTGGTGCATGGATCCTGAATCCCTTGCAAAAATTGCAAAGCTTGTGTGCTGACGCAGACTGTAATACTTCTGTCACTGCAAGACTCATCTTACAAATTATCTTACAATGTGATGGTTGCGTTTTGTTGTTGTTGGAAAAAAACAGGTGTGTTTTGCCTTGATTACATGTCGGTTTTCATTTAATTCCCTGTTGAAAATGACAAATATGGTGCTCATTTATCTACCTGGACCTTCTGCCATCCGTCATTGATTAAACACTTAGACAGAATGTCTGTTTTATTAGCAGGAGACAAGAAGCAGCATCCCTTCGTTTGAAACATCAGATGAGCTCCTGCAGCAGTTTGAGGATTTGGAGAGTTTAGTCACTGACATGAGGCAAACACAAAACATTTATTTATTTAATTTGTGTGTGGGAGGTAAGAGAATAGATATCTTTGTTGTTTTGTTCAACAATGGGGGTGAAGAATCCACCATGTTTAAAGTTTTCATACCAAGCACTTTGCATTAAAAAGACCAAAGCCAAACATCTATCAGAACAACTTAACTTGATTGTTTCAATATTCCACATCTAATAACTGGAGTTCTGGTTCATGTTTCTGTTGTTTATAAAGTTTGGGTTTCACGATTCATTTCTCTGTAAATCATTTACGCAGAGGACTGCTCTTATAGTTCAGTTTGTTTAAAACACGCACTGTTATTGTTCAGCCAGCTGACTAGAACCAGAGCAAACTTTCTTTTTTCCCCCCAGGATGTTGGTAACAACAGATATTGCTCTGAAAATAGCTCATCCCTGCCGGCGAGCTTTTGGCACTTTTGTTGTCGGCATATTTACCCAAGTCAAAATCAAACAGTAGCTCAAACTTCTGCAGATTA